GTTTCGCTGACAGAAACGTTGTGGAAAGGGATCCATGGGGTGGACCTAGCGTCATGATATGGGCAGGGATTGGACTTTATGCGAGACTTGGACCCATGTGCTTTCTGAATGTTGGTCAAGGTCGGGGACACGGCGTCACTGCTCAGCGGTATATCGACCAAGTGATCAGATCCCACGTTGTTCCATTTTTTCCACAACATCAACAACACATTTTCCATCAGGACAACGCTCGTCCCTATGTTGCCAGAGCTACCATGGCCTTTCTGCAACAACACAACATCCGTGTTCTACCGTGGCCAGCCCTAAGCCCTGATCTGAACCCCATCGAACACTTGTGGGATGAGGTTCAAAGGCGTCTGCTCAATGTGCGCCCAGTCCCTACAACTGCCGATGAACTACGCACAGTGTGCTGGTGGTCACACCAGGTATTGACTGACATTTTGGGTATTGCCCCGAAACTGTGTAAGCCCTTAACATTTGAAAAAAAACCCAATCATGTCATCTGCCTTTTAATCCATTGAACTGTCTTCAGTCAAATTTTTGTCAATCTTGCCCTATTAGTATTTCTTGTCTTCACTGTTGAAAATAAATAACATGTATACTGCATACTCGACTTGCGTTTCTTTTGCGTGTGAGTATACATGCAGTACAGATTCTATAGCACAGAAAATCGTTACCCCGAATTACTGTGTAACGGTTCACCTCTTGTTTTCAGACGTGTCATTCAGACAGATAAGTCAGGTGTGACAGTTATCACAATGTCACCGGTTATAAAGATTTGATACATGCCGGCTGACACTATTGATGGGTCAGTGATTAAGACAACAGATCAATACACACGCCTCCTATTCAGTACGTACGTATGGTTACATGGCTGTGTGTATGCATGGTATGCATGGCTGTACGTATGATTACATGTATGTAAATTATGTGTGTGTATGTCCCTGTGAACAAACAAACAGATTACGGATTGAACGCCAAAAGTGTCCGTCAGGTCTCTTAATGCTTTGCTGGAGTTAACGTTTCTTGTACAAGCGCTATAACACATGTTAACATCATGTTAAGATATATGAATGTTGAAGCTAGGCTTCACTTCAGTTTTCCTTTTTTTAGCAGGTCCATCATACTGCAAAACAGCCTAACTGTTTATATTACTATATCCTGCTATGCTTTACGACTAACAAAGCTATACATTACTATTATATTAGGCCTTAATCTTATCTTTATTTAAAACTTTCTCCCTCTGTACTATGTTCTAGTATTATATTTAATATATCCGTATTTACATATATACATCATTTATAATTTATAGTCAACATATATACCTATAAATCTTTACTATAATCAATAATGTAATGTAATGTAATGTAATGTAATACATTAAACTTTTCCCCTACAATTAAGTATGGTGGGTTATATCTATTAAGCATATTATTTATGATTCAACCCCACCTACCCCGTTGACGAAATACAGGACTGTGAAGTTGACGTAAAACCTAAACATTGATTATGATAATAAATGAATGTTAATACAACAAGCGCTGCGGGTGAAGATATATTTTAATGTTTGACACATGAACATTTTTCAACAACTTTTTTAACGGTAAAATTAGATACATTTAAACGTCAGTAGCATATAACCGTTTTTAATTAAAAGATCTACAAAAAGATGTATTTCTTATAATAGGAGGTCCATAAGGGTATTTTGTGAAGTACCGTAACTCGTTACGAAAACATAATTCTCTTGATATTCTTGACATTTCCCCACACCCCACTTTTTGTTTGTTTTTGGTAAAAGTTAATAAGATGAGGTTTGGTGGGTGACTAGAGGTATCTTTTCAAAGGGTGTTACTCTGACATTACCCAATATTTACTGGAGGATATTGGAAATGAATATAGACTGTCATGTTGTCTGACTGCAGATAGGATTTGTTATCATAACAACCACTGGGGGTTTCACATTAGGGGTTTTGATTTTTACAATTATTGCCCAAATGATCCTGCTGAGTACTGGTGCTTAGTGATGTCCAAATTATGATTCCAAATCTTTGGGATGAAGGTCTGTCCTTGAACCCAACTGGTTGTCACATAGTCCATGAAGGCAGTCACTTTAGGGCCAGCTGGAGAGTCAGCAATGGCATCAAGCCACACATCATCCACCTTGTCACGAGGTACTAGAGGGAGGGCAGCAGCTCTTCTCACCAGCTTCTTAACCTCCTCATCTTCCTTATAGTCCATCACCAGACCTTTAGTTCTGCACCCTCCTCCAAATACATTGGGTGAAGTGAAAGAAACGCCCTCAAACTAATGTCCAAGGAAAAACATCAGTCACGGCATTGTGAGCTGCACGTTCAAAGTCCAACTGAATTGTCAGTGGGGCAAACTCTAGGCCTCGCCTACTAGCAAAATCGCACAGGTACTGAAACATGTTGACATAACACTCTTTTGTTCTATTGTACAACAAACAGTATACTAATGGAAACATATGGCCAAACACCTCAACATGTAAACAATAAATCTGATCAAACAGCTTGGGACAGACATAAAATGTACCATCACAAAATACAATGTCTGCAGCACACAAATGTTCAATGTTCTTGTCTGTAGTGAAGATGAGGATGAGGATGAGGATGTCGTCACTAACACGGTGTAGGAGCTGGTCGCCTCTGTCAGTCTGGGAGTGCTTCTCCAGCTGGATCTGGGGTCTGCTGTCAGGAAGGCGGGGCAAGATCTTGTGTCTCTTGCGGTAGAGGATAGTGGTGAGAGACTTCAGGGCTTGTATTTGCTTCAGGAGGTCATCTGAGACGATGTTGGCGTAGTCTGGATATCTCCTCTCCGTAGATAGTGGGTATAGGGGTCGTTTCTGTCCTCGCTCTCTCCACCAGTCTAGCCTTAAAGGCATCAACCTCAAACTCGAACGGTAGTGGTTGTGGTAGTAACCCATGATCTCAATGGCGTGGAGCAACTCACCCTGAGTTGTGATCCTTGCAGTGCACTCCTTGACAATACAGGACCAGTATCTTCTTTCACCACGACTGCTCTTACACCGAACCTAAAGCCATCATAGTACAAAATGACGCCTCCTGCCACTTTCAATGAACTTTATTTGAACTTGTGCATTTGCCATGGTTCTGACATGGAGTGAACAGGACGTCACTTGAATATGTTATGAATAACAGGAGTAACTCTTTGTCAATTGAGACCGCCATTGATCTCTAAAGAACACCACGCTTAGTAATCTCTACAAGCTAATTGATGTGAGTTTACTCGATTTAAATGTGGGACACTCATTTAAAGGTATCGGTAATCTTATTAATTAATTACCGGCTAGAGTAGGTGAAATGCACACAGCTGAAAATGTGGCGCATTCGGCAATAGTCATTTTTGAAATATGGCACAACCGGCTAGACACCAAATTGCCTACTGTTTCTGCTGTCGGGTAGCCACAATGGCTAGACTGGACCCCCGTGGAATGGTTCATGCCATAAAACTCCAGCAACCGAGAACAAATTAAGACGGACCGACCTTGTGTTTATGGTTTTGTGAACACAGGTCAATGGCCGCTTATTAACTCAAGATTCACATCTCACTGTTTTGATTTATCTCACTATTTATTTGATTTATTTTCCAACCATGTTACATGCATGGCACACGAGTGTGCAACGAGTGACCCACGCTCGCTCAACGGGTTGCACACGCGCTGAACACCCGTTGCACATGCGTGTCACATGCGTGTCACATGCGTTCTCAACGCTTGTTAGGGGAATGAACTTTTAGGCAGTAGTGTAGGATTGGGGAATCATGGGAGGACACAAATACGCTGCTCAGAAACTTTATCAAAACAGAGCTTAAAATGGAAAGTGAACATCTGCACTTTAAGGGTGTTCATAGGATTGGCCGTCATAAACCAAAGCCCCATTCCAGGGATGAACCAAGACCACGCAATATCGAAGCAAAGTTTTTTACACACACGCGAACGGGATGCCGTAAAACGTTGCGGAAGGGAATTCAAAAGAAAGCCCTATTATACATCAATGTCCTGACGCGGTCGGGGATCGAACCCCTAATCCAGACGGACTTTGAAGTTGCAGCTATTAGGGCAATAGAGACATTGTTTCCAGACTGTGATGTTAGAGGGTGCTTCTTTCATTACTCCCAGGCCCTTTGGAGGAAGGTGCAGAGATTAGATTTCAGTGCTCTCTATCAACATAATCCTGAAGTCAACGCCTGGGTCCGCCGTGCAGCCGCACTTCCACTTCTTCCTGTCAACCTGGTGCAGGGTACATTCATAGATGTCATGGACAGTGCTCCAGGCAGTGCTCATCTTAACAAGGTCGTCCAGAGAGCCAATCCGAACATTTTTGCCTTCATTAAAGTGATCCAGTGACTAGAGAAGACGGAAAGAAACTAGCTTGCTCAGTATCTCCATGGTACCCGTCCACCACCCCGCAAGATAATCTATCAAGAGATTAACCAGAGACTAGAAAGGCTACAGGAGCAGCTTCGACTGGTTATCAAGTCTCCTCTCCAGTTCCTTGATGAGGCTGGATGTGTTGTAAAACTGGGCTAACAAAGCAACTAGTTTGTGCAACACTGTGACACATGAAATATGATAAATGAAAATGAATGATACATATAAATTGTGTATGAGATGATATATGATGAATGTAAGTCTGATATGTATATAATGTTCATGAAATATGATAAATGAAACTGAATGAAATGTATATATTGATAATGTAAGATGTGTGATAAAATGGGAATGTGAATGTGATGTTTGAATCATAATGTACATGAAATATGATAAATGAAACAATGGATGATGTATGATGTATGAAATATCAGTAAAAATGTATGAATAAAGAAAAACCACTAAATATCATTTGCGAGTGTGTGTCATGTGTCACTGTAGGCAATAGTACACTAAAATGGGCCAGTTCAACTCTGCAGAGAGGTAGCAGGGTATCACATGTATAACCACTGAAGCATATGAATGTTTGTTTTAGACTGTAGGCATTTGTCACTGTAGGCATTAGTGGACTCCTCCCATATAGAGCCCCACAGTTGACACAGATAAAGAGGCCACTGTAGGAGTCCGCGGGTGAACAGGTGAGTGTTTGGGAATGTGACATTGTATGCTATATAGTCATATGGAAGTGGACCATAATTATACTTTGTAGTCCGGACGATTGTGTTCTTGCATTTACTTTTAAGTCAGGAAAAACGACTTAAAAGGGGAGTTGTTGAATTTAATTATTAAATGTTGCTCATACACTAATCTGGACGTACTACTCATTGTTCTATTTATGTCATCCTGTATATATATCAGATATACATTAACGCATGTTACCGTTCTCAAGTCATACTCTCATATAACATTATATTGTTCATAGTATCAAAGTTTAATCAACAATATCAAGAGCAGCGATTTAAACTACTGAAACACCCAAACACAAAGCTGTTATCAAGCGCTAGTGCAGACGTGATGCATCGTAAAAACTGTATAGAGATATCATCAGAAATACAATTTCTTTCAATATTTATACTACGAGATAGTAAGGCAAACGCTCACTCACCGATGGAACGTGGACAATATAGCTGATACAGATATAACGTATTTGAATATTAATACTACAGACAAACACTCATTATTTTTGCAGTGACGATATAACACTTATATACGTTTATTGGTAACTTTCATCAGTTTTGCTCTTCATTTTAATAACTTTGCAAATAAGCAGCATCCATATTACATGGTTGTGATGCTGCATGGTGTAGATGCTTTGTACATGTAACTTATATTGTTTCATGTTTTTTGTAAATACTTTTTTGAGTTGTAGCTGTATACTGTACTGTTAGCATGTTTTAAAAGTAAGTTGAAGGGGGATAACTCTTTGTTTGAAGAAATTGAAGCTCTCGTAAATGCCCCTTCCTCAATCGAGACAGGTCTATAGATACATGCATATATAAAGGTACATCTTGGTAGGTCAAGTCTGATAAGGCGGTAGAGAGAGAACAATAACACATGAATTACAGTATTTTCAAAGAAACGGATCGATTTTATTACAATAGTAGTGATTTGTGATATGTAATCACATTAGGTGTAAGGTAGGACACATTGATCTTGATGCTCTTGACAAGCTTGGTTCTCTTATGGATGGCTTCTTTCTCCAGTTTCTGAAGCATATCTCACTGCTTCTAGATCTGTTAGTGGACTATCAATTGCCAAATCAGAAATAAATCCGAAGATAAAAATATGTGCATGATAGTTGTGGAAAGTGCAGAATACCCAATAACAATACTCACCGAGTACAAACACCAAAGGACAATTTAGCTGATTTTTGGCGGACAAAGCCGACAAGCAAAGAATTCAGCGCGATCATTTCCATTTCAGATTTAGGCAACAATGTTAGTCACGTTGTGAGTACACCTTTTAGCGAACACGTAATGGTTAGGTTAGGTTAGGTTATTTGTTGTTTAACGCGGCACTCAACAATATTCCAGCTATATGACATCGGTCTGTAAATAATCGAGCCTGGACCAGACAATCTAGTGAGCATCGATCGTGAGCACCGATCCACGCAATTGGGATACGATGACATGTATCAACCAAGTCAGTGAGCCTGACAACCCGATCCTGTTAGTCGCCTCTTATGACAAGCATAGTCACCTTTTACGGCAAGCATGGGTTGGTGAAGACCTATTCTACCCCGAACACCTAATATCAACCTTTATTGATAGTGATGCATATAAACACATGCTTGTCAAGTATTCGGAATTGTAGACCCGATTTGGTTTGATTATGAAAATGGTTTGGTTGGTATTGTTGAACTTTGAAATTGTGTGGCATTACGATAAAAAGGGATGATGGTTTGGGTTTGCTTATATTAATTACCCATTGCAATCTTGCCTGTCAGTGAGGTAAATGTGTTTTTATTTAGTTGCAGAAACGAACAATGCCTCGTGAACACTGGAGCCATCAGTTTGACTACTTCGTCAGCCTACTTGGATATGGTGTTGGATCTGGAACATTCATCAAGTTTCCGTTCTACTGTATGCGCAATGGAGGAGGTAGGTTGTGTGTGGCACCAAGAAGCTTCGAACTTTTAAATGTTAATAATTATAGTGATTATTCCCCAGCAACTATTTACATTAAGGGGATCCTTGCAATCATTGTACATTATATACTCAACAGCAAAAGTTCCTATGACACAAATATTTTAGTGTATTTTTCAAACAAGTAAAGTTTGGTTTTCAATATTGTAGTACATGTATGGAATCAAGTCACAAAACGCAACTGCTACAGAAAAGCATGCATTCCATGCAAAAGTTGACTTTTATGCAAGCCCCATGCATTTCACTACCCAAGAATGGGTATAAAAACATGTGGGTTAACGGGATTCCACATACATTGTTAAGCATCGTACTGACAACAACCACTCAGAAAAACAACAAAATTACGCAATTATTCCACATTACGAAATGCGATGCCTGTCCGAAAATGAGCGTCTGCGAGCCATTGGTATGCTTGACGCAGGATCGAGTCAACGTGATGTTGCAAGACAATTTAACGTCCACAGACGAATGCAGTCAGAGACCATCCTCGGAGTGGCAGGCCACGCATAACCAATAATCGACAAGACAACTGGATTCGAACAACACACCTACGAAATCGATTCCAGCCAGCAACAGTGACTGCAAGAAGCATCCCTGGCCTTTGACAAATATCTTCACAAACCGTACGTCGTCGCCTCAGATGACGCCTTTTGACAGGATACCACCGTCAAGCACGTCTACAGTGGTGCAGATAGCGTCTATGCAGCGTCTATGCTGGACGGCCATGCAGTGGGGACAAGTTCTATTCACTGACGAGTCTCGTTTTCACCTCAGCCACAGCGATGGACGGATTTGTGTGTTCCGACGTCGAGGTGAACGTTACGTCAATCATTGTGTCATGGAAGAAGATCGGTTCATGGTCGGCAGCGTTATGGTATGGGGTGGGATTACAGCAAGACAGCAAGACGACCCGTTTGATAGTGGTAGAGGGAAATCTCAATGGACAGAGCTACCGCGACGAGATCATCGGCCCTGTTGTTCGACCGTTTTTGCGTCGTCATGGCACAGGCATTACCTTTCAACATGACAACGCCCAGCCTCATATAGCTCGACTTATTCAGGATGATTCTCTTCAACAAAACAACGTGAATGTCATCCCCTGGCCGGCTCGCTCCCCTGATTTCTCACCAATCGAGCTCATGTGGGATGAGATGGAACGGCGTCAACCAATGTTCCACTGGCACTCCAGGAACTTCGAACATGCTCCAGTAGATATGGACATTTATCACACAGAACTTTCTGCGACGCCTGGTACATTCCATGAGACGAAGATGTGTTGCTTGCATCGCAACCAGAGGTGGACACACACGATATTGATTTGTAAATTGACATTTTGGCATGTTCATGTTTTTTTTAATGAAATCACGCATCTTCTGAAGTCAGTATGGCAAATTAAACCATTTGAACACTTACAGGAGTCTTTTATCTGCTGCAAAGCGAAATTGGTAAACAACATAATTTTGCATTAAATCTTATGCAATGTCACAGGAACGTTTGTTGTTCAGTATATATTTTGCGAAAGATCATTATACCAAATGAAAATGTCGCATCTAAACATTTGTTGAACAAATAAGTTTATGTCAGAATGTGCTTGAAGTGTGCCAATGGGGATTTTAATGGAGGAGGTAGATTGTGTTAGATTGAAGTACATGTTAGGTGTGGGGGAACGGGCACAGTTTATTTATAGGGGAACATTACTGACATATTTTTATTCTTATTTTTTACAAAGGAGCATTTCTGATACTCTTCCTCTTCTTCACAATAATCGGAGCCATTCCATGTGTTTTCCTGGAGATGACTATTGGCCAGTACTCTCAAAGTGGACCGATTAACGTCTGGAACTTGTGTCCTTCTTTCAAAGGTATATATCGACGCCTGATTCTACTGTACCAACACTTACATAACTGAATATATGTATACTTATAGATCTGAATCGTTTTAGAAAGTATTTTCGAAATGGGGAGAGATGTGGTGGCGGGGGAAATTAACCTTTGAGAATTTCTCCGCGAGAAATAATCAGTTTTCAGGCAAATGGTTGTCTGTATGATCGATTACGTCATTTGATTGACCAAGAAGTTATGACTGCATGTCAATTCATTCGTTTACAAATCAACAAGCAACAAGGCAATGGTGAAGTCCCTGACCAGAGATTTATGTTCTCAGATGTATTTATTCTCGAGCTGAGACTATTTGTGAATCACAAACATTGCTTTTGTATTCAATTTGTATGCTTGAAACCTCGTGGATCTTACTCAAGTCAGCGTACGCAGACTATGCCAAGAAACAGCCAAAAGTAGCTTTGACAATGATTGACTGACAGATGAATGCTAAAGCATCAAAAACACGATAAGCTTCTGCTCAGCATATTGCTTTATGCAGGTGAAAAACAGCAGGTCGTGCCCAGCTCCGAGCAATCTTTTGTTAATATATACACTGAAGACAATTATGAAAAATATCTCAATTGGCCCAAAGATTTGAGCCCACTACAGATCTAATGGATCTAATGCTACTTCTTATGAACAATTACAGACAGACAGACATTTTTTTAGTATTGTTTTGGCCACGAGGCCCATAGGACAGTGAGACTTTTACAAAGGAGTATGTTAGGGTCAGTTATAATAAATTCTATACAGCTGTAGACAAATTACGTTTTTCTTTCGACACTATATCTTGCAAAATAGCGAGTCTTAAAAGTATGTTGGTATTTTTGGTTTTTGGAAGATGTACAAATTCTGGTTGGTTTTCGGTTACTGGCACAAACCTATACTATATCATAACTTTTTTATCTTCAAAGCAGCTAAATATTTAAATTAAGGATATCAGATCTGAACTTTGATAAGGATCTTCGTTTTTGCGGAGATGATAGGGCATGTAAATGGAAGTCGGATGCAATGTTAGATTTAAAAGTCGGGTTAGTGTGCAAAAGTTTGTTACTTGATCAGATGACCATTCTTGATAGTGAATGTCTTTGCAAAGTTCAAATGGACAATTTAAATGAAAAGATTGGTTTCATAAGTTAGAAAGAAAATGCACATAAAAAAAAATAATTCTGTAGATGCTCCCCCGAATCTCAATCATTGTCAAATGAATCCCAGTTCTTTTCCAAAATAATTGATTTGTTTTTCCTACATGAATCTTGAACAAAGCACTATCTTAAATTATAGATGACTGTTACATGATTGACTAGTGATTAATGAGCGGTAACACTGAGCACTGAAGGATGCTACACTTGTGTGTTTTCTGACCAAAAATGCTTACGGCACTCGAGTTTTCCTGAATATGTAGATAACGGTTTAAATTGTCAACAAAGAAAGCCATTTTCCATTGTCAGCATTGTTATTTAAATAAATGATGTCATTACATGTAATATGGAAAACAGTGTTACCGATGCACGAAACAATGCTTCTGACTATGCAAGAATGAATGTGCAGTGTACTATAGTATAACATTGTTGCAATACAAAATAGATACGTTTTCAACCTTGAGCGTTACATACTTCCATATTTTAATGCCAGTTTTTTAAAACTTGTTTTATACAATTCACAAAATCCTCAAAAAGGGTCAAAAAGGCATTTTGAAGAATTGAAAAGCATTACATATTTAATTGAGATGTCAGAGCAGTGGCCATAAACAGTTTTGCCAATTCAGCTCCCCTATAGCGCATTTTGAAAGTATGGTCCAAACATGCAACATACAATATCGCAAAAAAGGAACACGTTTTGATGCCCACTACAACATAAACACAGGTTTACTCAAGCAAAACTGACAAGGTATTATAGATATTGCGAAAAAACGATCATATGTGTAGGTTCCCACCAGCAACTACATAACAAATTAAAAATACTGAATAATGGTCACAAGAAGTTTCAGGTTTCAGTTTGACCGAAGCGCAAAGGTGAAATGAAGGTCAAAATATATGATATCGCGAAAAACGGAAAACAATGTTCAGCCCACATACTAACTGCACACTAACTACCAAATTTCATCATTATGTTTCATCCTTTTCTTTCACAGGTCTTGGCGTTGGAGCTTTAATATGCGTCTGGTTTTTCAGTAGCTACTATAATGCCATATTCTCCTGGTTCATGTATTACCTCTTCTATTCCTTCTCTGAAATACTTCCTTGGGACAACTGTAACAACACTTGGAACACACCTACATGTATATCTAGCAAGGATCTTCGAAAGTTTACAAATGTCACTATTTCTTCGTATAATGCAAGTGAGACTGGAATTACTAACAACATAACCGGGGTTACTGCTGCTGAAGAATTCTGGAGGTAAGATTTACATGCATTTTTAGGTAATAACATCATAAATTCAAGCATATACACACCTTCGTACCTTGGTCTACCTCTAGATATACATACTGTTATACAGCTTTTCAAGAACTATGCTAAGTACATAATTGAAACACCTCTAGGAGCATTTGCTTATATATATATATATATATATATATATATATATATATATATATATATATATATATATATATATCGAGCGTTTGCTTTTATATATATGCAATATGTATTGACATGCCATTATGGATATTTGTCTTAAATGACTATCCTTTATATTTAAGAAATAAGGTGTTGGAAATGACTGATGGTCTGGATAATCTCGGTGGCGTTAGATGGCATCTTGTTGGTTGCCTGGCGATCACACATGTGATTTTATTTTTGTGGATTTTCAAAGGAATAAGAGTATCAGGGAAGGTAAGTGAGCCAACAATGCCCTCAAATGTGTGTAGAAAAGTGCAACATTTGTCACGTGTGTGATGAACTCATGTATTCAACAGATTTGGATGATATGTAAACTGATCATGAACCTGTACCTTTTTCGTGTAGAATAGGTCTACCTGTGTCCTATAGTTGTGGTAAGAGGTGACTGAAATGTATTGGATGATGAGGCTATGTGACTTAACTGATAGCATGCCATCTTACCCTTATTGCAGCATGTGTAAATATTAAATGTCAGGTCAGGACACTGGTATCGCAATTGTAAGGCAACAATCACCACCATCATGAGGCGATGATGCAAAATTTGTTCAAGCATTGTCATAAGCCAATACTTTAACCCACTGTTGTTATTATTCAGTTTTGACAGTTATATCATATCCTTTTCTTTTATTTGTTCCTGTATATCAAAGGATACAAAACGACAAATAACACAATACAACCTTGCTCCAGTATCATGAACAAGTGGTACTCATTGATTGCCTTTAGACACATAAAAGCTAAAGTAGATCATGCAGCATTTAACCTCCTGATTTTCACACTGTATATTCTTGGACCAGCTTGTCTACATCACCGTAGGTCTTCCCTACATCCTCATCACAGTGTTTCTCATACGAGGTTGCCTACTTCCGGGATCAGCTGATGGAATATACTACTACATTTATCCAAAGTTTGAGAGACTTACGGAACCAAAAGTGAGTTTTTAAGCGTCGGTCATGTTCAATTTGAATCATAGGGAAATTAATTTGCGTACATAACAATACCCTGTAGTAAATAATATCTCCTAAAAGCAGAGTCAATTGTACGATTCAACCTATATCATAAGCATGTGTTTCTGAATCACTGTCAAATACCGATTACCACGTATTCGCGAAAAGGTGAACGTATCCTGCACCACTGGTGATACCCATCAGAAACACATGCAACTAATCAACAAATGCAATGAGTTACTGAGGTAACGACTGAGTTTGACTTTCGAAATACGATGAATCTTTTCTTATCAACTTGCAAATTCAGGTCATAAAAATCATAATTCAAGTGCAAGTGCAAGTCTTTGTTTAGTATATGAGGATTCCGACCACTGCCTTGCAACACAGCCAGTGAGTAAAATATTAAAGAACTGCATGAAGTGAGACAACACAAAAAAGCAAAGCAGTTCACAGTCATTTTGAAAACAATACCGTTAATTTTTAAAACTACCAGCCATATTGGCCTCTTAGAATGCTCTTACAACAGGCATAAGCTACTTTCAATATTTCTATTCTTTAAACACTGATCTGTTTAAGTTATGTTTTATAAGGAAAATTCACAGACGTCACCAAATATGAGTTTATTTAACTTTCAGGTAAGCCGTAAGATCTTCCTGGCGATAACAAATAGGCAAAATCTTTGAAGTGTGTGTATAACTTGCAATAATGCAATAATAAACTGAAACGCAGGTACCTCACTTTGCAAAAATAGTATTCAACAATACAAGACAGAGGCTCTTGAAAACACCATACACCTTGGTTTATGCACATGCAACCAAACCCTCGACTTAATCGAGAGGGTTAAAATATCAGTTAGACTTGTGACGAGGGTGGGCACCACTTAGTCATCGGCCAGGCCATTGGGTGGTAGAGGGGATATGACAAACAGCCATGGCAATTTAGAAAAAAAATCATTGAAGCATCACTTCAAGGGCAAATACACAGGGCCACTGGCTTGTTAAGCTGGGGAAGGACTGGTACTGCACTGGTCAAGAGAAACAAGTTCACCACAGGTTATCTGCATAGAGAATTCAGAAAAGACTCCATGCAGACGGAATGATGTCCAGATGTACGGTTCAAAGCATTCAAATGTTTTTTAAGCCATCGCCAATCAACCAATCTTGCGATCACCAATGGGGTTACAACACCGGTACACATTAAGCACGAGTATCACAGCTGGGCATAGATCTGCGAGGTCTCCTGACCTATGTCAGGGATCCAGAGATTATAATAGCAGAAATTCTCCAGCAACTTTATCACCTCAATTGTTAAGTTCCAAAGAAACTTGCATTCACGTAAATAGTGTGAATTACTGAATGTTAACAAAACGAGTATGTTTCGATTCCATTCAGTTACTCACATAATGTGTCCAAACAACGTGAAATGTCTTTTTTGTATGTGTAGATAAACACACTAAAACAACTATAAAGTATTCGCCAAATGTTTCACGGTCTTTCTTCATTCACTTCAATGAGGACATACAACTGTTTCAACTGGATAATGAACATTTATTTCTGATTGTTCTCTTTGTTTGCAGATATGGATCCAGTCCTGTAGTTTTGCACTGCATTCACTAGGTATAGCCTCTGGGTGTATAACCTCCATGTCTGGACACAACAGAATGAATAACAACTGCTTTAAGTAGGTTTGATGTTTGCTCACCCCGTATCTTGTATACAATTTGCAATGTTAAAAAGCATTATCGTGAGTCATATCACGGCGTGCCAGCTTAATGTGAAAGGGAAGTCGAAAATGATGCGTTCACCACTTCGGAGAAACCAGCGAGCACGGGAGGCGTGATGTTTAACCTTGAAATATAATCAGGACAATTGCAGGATTCGAACCTACGATTACAGGTTCCCGACACACCTCAGTTATGAAACAGGGGAATTTCTATTGAAGAAGTTAATTTGCCCATGCCCGGAGGTTTTACCAAAGTGGTAAACGTCCAAGACCTGCCCCTATTTGGACTTTGCTCCCTCGTGGAGCTAACACGGCATGATATAACTGGAATACTGTTCAAAGCGGCGTTAAACACAAATCACTCATTCACTCATATGTTAATTAGTGAGAAATGTGTATCTAAAGTGAATCTATGAATGTACCATGTGATCTTTAAGTCAGTTGCATCTTTAACTTTCCTTGTCTTGCTGTGCATGTTCGGAAGTTCATCAGCCTTTAGTATCATGGTAGCCACACAGTTGATCCTTTGTTACTTTCAGAAATGCCATATTGCTTTGCTTGGCTGATTCCCTCTCGGCCATTTTGACTGGATTTGCTTTCTTCACAATCGTCGGTCACGTCGCCTACATACGTGGAGTAAACGTAGATGCTTTTGAGTCATCAGGTCAGTGACCAAGAAATACGTAGTTACATTTGTGCTCTGGATGTTATGGATGAATAGGACCTATTTCATAATAATGTCTATAAGTCGTCGAAACTGTCGTATGGTAATTTGGGTTACCTTGTGCACCTTTAGTGGCAAGTGCGTCGACTGTGGTGCCCAAAGTTGCTCAATGGTTTGGGGCTTATTACTGGCCTGGGTAATGTAGTGATGCTCTGCTGCTGCAAGTTCACTGTGACAACCTGCGATGTGGACATGTGCATTTGCGTTTTTGAAGACAAAAGGACGACGTTAACATATGTAGCAAGCCAAGCTCCAACATGTTGTCATGCTAGTAGTGTCCCTTGACTCATCCCTAGGACGTTGTGTTCTCTCTGTCATAATCCCTCCTCATAACATCCCTAAACCCCAACCACACACGTCATATTGATGGGGATTGACGTTGACATTACTTTCAAAGGTCTTTAAACATTCCTGTAAACACTACACTTGACTATCATCTATTCCCGCAATGCCTACGTCATCTTCACCATGACATTACAAACGTGGTATTACTAGTAGTGCCCTTACACCGGTAGCCCTGTGTTGTCTTTTTGTCCTCGATTCCATAGACTCTGGGAGACGATCCTATATGGATGTTGTGGATCTTGTACGCAGATGGGCTGCCCGATGTCGACAATGAATGGTCTGTTTGGAAACTCTAACAATGGTAGCCCTGTGTTGTCTGTTTGTCATTGAGTCCATAGACCTTGGGTCTGAGACGATCGTATACAGATGTTGTGGATCTTGTGCATCCTGATCGGAGGCAACTATCAGTGATTGGCGGAATCTCTAAAACAATCTGCTGATCAGATACTGGTCTATTGGCTACAATAAACATAATCTGTCTATCTGAATCACAAACAGAGTCATTTATAAGCCTTTTCTCGAGTATGTTGCAATTTTAAATCCGATGTCAAATCTATCTGCCTTAAATGTGAAATGTCTTTATGTATCAATCCATCATCTACATGTACATGAAGTGCCTAATGATATGCATTTCACGATGCCTCCATAATTCATAATGTTCTCTGTAGTTATTATAAAATATCAGCCCTTTAAACTATTTGTATATGGGTGAATCCAAGTATATTTGAGAATTTGTCAATTTTGATTTATTTTTACAAATATTTTCCATATTTTACGATAAATTAGCAAGGAACAGATCATAAAAAAGAGAGCCCATTTGGAAACTTTAGATGACATATGCCTTCATTATTAACAAACTATTCTGAACCTTTGAATATTGATATGAAACATTATATAAAGGCACACTATGTTTCATGAGAAATAGCCCATGGTGACGTTTTACTTTAAGCTAGCCGTGGGATAAAACATTCATCTCCATGCAAACATTTTTTCTTGTGTTTCAGGTTACAACCTTGCCTTCATCGTTTACCCTGAAATGCTGGCCTCTCTCCCGTTCCCCCAGTCATGGTCGGTCTTGACTTTTGCGACACTGATGATGCTTGGAATAGATTCTATGGTGAGGGTGATGCCTAGGTTAAGTCAGATGTATGCATTCATAATCTCGTATTCTTATTGGTCAGATTGAGAGCATGAACTGAAAATATATACATAATATATCTTCAATCACATGCCAGAACTGTTCATCTGCAATCATTTTGTGCTGTTGTGTACACAATTGATAACATTGATTTTTGTGAGTGGCGGGTGCTACTGTTAAAGAATACCTGTTCCTGTAGTGGAAATGTTTCTTGGTACTATTTTCCTCTAGGTTTCCAATAGTTTTTACAAAGGAACTTGTTTCCACACAATACATTTACACTGGCAATATTTGTTCAGGATTGAACTGATTCAATGTGGAACTGATCATCGTTGACACTGGCGCTAGGGCAGGACATGTTTACCTTTTTCGCAATCACCTGGTGTCAACGCTGATTTTCAGTAATCCAGTCATATTATGTTCACACCCATTGTGCCTTTTACGCCCAATGGAATCTGTTCCTGCAGATAATCGAGAATGATTATTTACTGACGTTAAGGTTTCACATTTAGCAAATTAGATTATTTCAAGTAAACATTTCCGTCTCAATACTGAAGAATGTTCACACGATATTTTCATATTTGGATGACGTTTGCCTCAGGGAGTAAACTGTCTGCTGCGTGCAAGTGCACATACACTAAAAGATTCTCCTCATAAAACAATAAACATGGAAAGTCGCTCTATTTGTATCAGCAGGCATTCGTCTTCATATTTAAACGTAGTATGTATTTGAGTGAGTAAAGTAGTGAGATCGGTTTGACGTATGATCCTGCCAACAAACCGATTGTCATATGTGATGATCACGATTCTAGGATTCGGGCGCATCACATGCTGACGTGACTAACACTGCAGTCAAATCCGGCGCCATAGACGACTGGGATGCACGTGCCTATTTAAATCGTAGAGGACCAATGGCAGCAATCATAACCTAATTTTCACCAAAGGGTATAATGCTGACACACCAGCAATGATAACAGGAGCGAATCCATCGACCATAGGTTTCTGAAACGTCTACGGGACAGTAAATTGCGGTGCCTTAGACGACTGGGACTAATTTATCTGATGAAATAGCCATTTGTTTTCATCCCTGTGTGGTAGAGATGTTTAACGTTTATCTGGCCAATTACTATTCCCATTTTTGAATGGTAACTAAAACGACAAAACCCCAACCATATTAATAAGAAATATCTGAAAAAGGAAGTGCCGATAATACAATTCCGAACATATCATGAGCATGCGATCACGAATCACTATCAAATATACATGTGATACCACATGTGGCATCCATTACAAACGCATGCAAAAGCAAGTCAATTCTTTACGGGAACATATGGAACAAGTCAAACTAGAGAATTACTTCGTCAAATTTGAAAATGCCATCCGCGTGTCCACCATAAACCGTTTTGAAAACTTTCCTTAGGCCTCGAATGTTATAGCCTTGAGTCGTATGACCCCCTTTGACATCTTGTGCCTCAAACGTTGCGAAATGTAGACACCAAAGTCACCTCTCTTGCCATACGGCATTTGGGAAGTCTTTTTTCACTTTGATGCTTTATGAGTAGATGTAAATATGAAACTCACTGGTCTCCTTTATGTTTAGTTTTGGCGGGTATCATTGGAAGGGAATTGGATATCAGATCATCGGTATAGCTGAAGCCTTAGTTAAACTTCTTTAAACAGAAGAAGGGACACAGTTACTTGGGTTGCCTTAAGTGCATAATTATATAAATACAACTACCACTGAAATTTGATTTATCAATACATGTATATAACGACAATGTTGAAACGATATATATCAAATTGTATAAAAACATTTGGTATTGAAATTGAAATTTGAAATCATTATGTGAGCCTTATAATGTGAGTTCCATGGCACTAACATATTTTTAAACAAATGTCATATCAGATCTGTCTCCACAGGTACCAGGCATTGCAACTATCACGGCAGCCTTGGAAGACGTGTTTTCGCAATTGTTTAAGAAGCGCCTCTTCTTCACGTGTGCAGTGCTTCTTAGCACTTTTCTATTTGCTCTTTTATATGTATCACAGGTAAAACCATATACACATCTAAATGTCTTTTTCATGTATTGTCTACAAATTGGTTAAGTTACGTTTTGCGTATCAAATTGTTATAAAACGAAAATTGGAGAACTAAATAGCTGTAATTTTATAATTCTTTCAGTTGTGTTTATGTGTGGATCCTATGTTGTACAATACGGACATATGTGTACCATGTGATGATACCAAGGTAAAATTTGTATACATTTAAGGGTGGGATATATGTGGTGACCCTGGTGGACTGGTTTGCCTACTTTCCCTCTACAGCCTTAATTGCAGTTCTGGAATGCATGGTAGTTGGTTGGTTCTATGGTAAGTGTTGAAGTGATGATCTTTATTTTTTTATTGTTTCCACAATTGACACCACGGAATATTTTACAACAGATAAACTTTACCTAAACAACTGAAGAAGACACTTTCTATAATTAAGAGGCACGGTGGCAAACCTGGAGCCTGAAATATACATGAATTACAGTTTTATCCCCCTCTTTTGAAACATCAGCATGTCCGTCCGTCTGTCCTCCATCCGTTTTCTTTTAATGGAGCAAAACAACTAAACCGTTGGATATTTCTCTTTAAAACTTTCTTTACAGATCAGTCGAGTTATGAACTGTGCCTTATGGTGATTTGGAATTTGTACTTTTTTACATTTTGTTTTATGTTTTCATGATGACCAGTTGGACTTGTACTCAAAATGAGAGTTATGTTTATAGACCAGAACCCCAAAACTGTTGAATATTCCAGATGAAACTTTCTATACTTATTTAGTCTGGTGGTGAACTAGTGCCGTTTGACACTACTGAAAAGCACCATGTTTAACCTTACTGAACAACCACATGGTTCATTGAGCGGGTACAATGGAGGGAAATGACTCCTAAAGAGTACATGGCAGAAAATTAAATATTGCGCGCAAAAGGCATGGTTTGTAATCACAGACTGTAACTATCAGACACTATTTTACCAAACGGATGGGGTTAAGATTAGGGTGGGTCGAGGGTAGTACCAAGCAGGATAGATATGTACTCACTATTGTGCTTCATGCAACAATTATATCTACATGTATATCTTGGCCTTTATGACAATACGTGGGCACTGAGGATGGAATCTGCCGAGGAATCCCCACGTACATAATCCTTTAGAATAGTTTACTTGTCAATTTCATTTTCAGGTACAGAGAGGCTTCAGGAGAATATCAGTAAGATGTGGGGAAAGAAGATGCCTCGAGTCATGGTCATTAGCCTAAAGTTCGTTTGTCCACTACTTCTGCTCGTAAGCTTCATGATATATTGCTCTTTTGTGTAACGTTACAGACAACATGCTTTTTGATAAAACTGACTGAAACAAGTTTGGAAGGTTTGAGATCCAGTTTTGAAATTACTTGAGACATCTTTTAAAATAAAAGAAAGTTAAATTGTTAAATGTTGAATGTAAGAGGTTATTGGTCACTGGCTGCACACCTCACCTCCTGCAGATTTGGAAAAAAATAGATTTGAAAAAGTGTGAATGTTCAGAAGATGACATGAAGAAGGCAGTTTTTGATATTATTCATATGATTATTCATATACTCAATAATTTATAGTATACAGTAAATGCCAGTGAGTAAGGAGGTGTGAAAACTCCACGTAATGTCAAAAGATGAGATAGTAACGCGCATCATTCCTCCGAATGTCTACCTTAAAACGTCTGGAATAACCCAACCAGGTCATATGATGGTGAATCTTGATTGATTACTCAGTTGTAAGGAAAATGTTCCTTTCCATGAAATTTGAATAAACTGTAATGCTCATAAGGTACCTGAGCAATTAAGACATGTGGACGCTATAAGCTGGACCTGACGGTGTATTGTCCGATATAAAGAGGAAATTCTCGATTGAAAAAACGAAATCGACCCTCTTGTTGTACAGCTTGTTACAGAGGCTGGCATCATTCTGAATGTCTATGCCCATAACAATATAAGAGATAACTAAAGATGTAGATTTTATAACGTCTACTGCCTTGAAGTATTAATCTAGAACTAATTGCAATACAGGATAATTGAAAAGGACAATGTTCTACGTACATTAAATGTTCTTGGACAATATTACTAATATCGATTGAGATATCAGATACATGTAACATATTTAAACACATTTAACACCACTATTTGTTCAACCTGAGTATTTTGTTTTGTTCATTGAACTGTTACATGCACAAATTATCAAAGTAATCTGTTGTTCCCGAAAGCACTGTCTTCCCTTGTTTCACCGCTAATAAACCCTAATTGTATCGTATCAGGTTACATTCTGCTACTCTCTGTACTCCTACCGGCCTCCGAAGTATGGGGACTACATATACCCTGCCTGGGCTACAGGTGTTGGGTGGATGATATCACTCGCATCAATCCTGCCGATTCCTATCATTTGGCTGTGGACGGTTCTCAATAGAAATGAAACTTCACTGAAAGAGGTACACTTCATGTTTTTCTTTTCAAACTATATTAAATTACATGATTGTTGTAATTTGTGGTACTAAGACATTAATCTGTTAAGTTGATGTTTCATGTGTTTTCGTAGTTGGTCACAGTATAAACACTTCATAATGTAATAAAGCATCACTATAACAAAAACTTACACATGAAACTGCACATTTAAAACCTATAAATCATTATCTGTATATGTTATTAACAACAAGGGGATGCGACATGTTTCAGAAAATTAAAAGATCAATGGAACCCAATGAAAACTGGACTGGTTCAATCGGAATGGAGGGCGTCTTACAACCTATGGCGGGACATGAACTGACATCAGTTTAATACGAATATGCAAACGCTTTGTACGTCTGAGTTAATGTTATATACAGGCCTGTGTATGAAAACACTAAACTACAGCGGAAGTCAGTGATGCCATGTCGCTGTAAAAAAGTTTCTCATTTGATTGTTCTCCAGTGTCGCCGTTCCGTAAAACCAGCTCGTCACTGTAAAATGATCTCTGCTCCTCACCTACTCATTACTGTCCGGCGGTCTGCCGCTCAGCATCAGTTCTTTGACTTGGTGTTTGTAATGCTATCGCTGGAACATTTGTTGTCTGTAAATATCATTTTCCAGCAGTTTAATCTTATGCTTTTATCATATAATGATTTGACATACATCTCCTTGTGTGTGCAAGCGTATTCACATGTTGAAAATGTTTTAGTAACTTTGATTCTCATGCAGTAGAGGGATTTGCTAGTACTATTTTGATATTTCTAATGTTTTTGTCGTTATTCACTTGTATCCCACCTCTCTATTTGTACACATCTAGCTGTAAATTTTAAATAGTACTTCTGGGTAGCTAATGTGCATCCCTTTAGAATGATACTTCTATCTACAGTATTGGGTCTGTAGTTAGTTTGCTATTCGTATTTTCCCAACTATAGAAATAATTCCTTCACTAGTAGCAAGCGGTTACTGTCTTCTCCGAAGTCCGCGCTTCTCGCGCAAGTAGCTCATCGGTACCGAGTGCAGCTATCGTCAGGAATCGTTAGACTTTGACGTTTCGTTCTGATACTTCGTTCTGAACTTAGTTTCGCCTTGGGGTAATTGTGGGACAGGTATACTTATACTGACTTACCCTGGTGCCATTGTGCTAAACTTATTTGCTAGGGTATTTATTATATCCGCTTTTATCTAGTAATCTGTGAATAACTAGTTTGCTCAGGTGTATCTGGCTAAGGTCAAGTACCTTTATATTGTTGGAAGTCAAGAACATCAATGAGTCAAGTATTCTCTGGAAGTCAAGTATTTCCATTTTTTGTCCAAGACTATAAGACAAAATATTTATTTGGGCGTATTCGTCGATCTGTCAGTGTCCGAGAGACAAATTTTAGGAAAAGATCCACAGTGCCCATTTCTCACATTCGCACCAAGCCAAGGTAATTCATTCATTACTGAGTGCAGATTTAACAAACTCCAATGTGTTTATTGGTCACAGCCATGCCAGTTGAATAATCTATCTACGTGTCTCGCTGATTGTCTTATCAGAGTGTTGTTTCATCCATCTTATGTAATAGCTGGTTGTGCGGTTGTATAGTTACTTGGTTTGCATATTGGTTCATTGTTTATTCATCAGAGATCTTTGCCTGTGACAAATGGGATCCAGGGAAACATTGTCAAATAAAATTATGAACTTTTACCACATTGTTTTTTATTTCTTAACACTCTAACCGCAGGAGCTCAGCTCAGTAATTGTTTACGACAACATGCTATGTTGTTGGCAAAATGAAAGGCTGTACTTGTGTTTTAACAATACAGAAACGAATCATAATAACTGAGAAAACGCTAATTTAACACTTAGAATAACGCAATCTCTCGTGAAATACGCCCTAAGAACTAGTACCCTATCTTAAAAATGTGCGTAGTAGACGTGGCAAATTGTACAAACGCAACACGCAGCGAGTCCAGTTTGGCTGCAAACGTTCCAACGCCAAACTTTTAATGAACTTGGAGCTCCACCCTAGTTGGCTTACCGGCGACTGTCCCAGTACGGCAGTTAAAAAGAACAATGGTGTAAACACACTTGTTCTTTTTCAGAATATTTTAGGGCAGAATTCGGTTTTGTGTTTTGTGATTGTACTTTGTATTGTGTCTTGATCAGGGCAAATAGTTCCACTGTGCAGCCACATCCAAAATACTTCGGTCATTCTGAACAAGCACACGTTCGTTCAGCAGAAAGACAGTCGGTTTAAGTTCCCCTTACAAATTAAATAAGATGGGTTTTTTTCTGCTAAAAGCGATATGAAAATAAACACTAAACACAATCAGCCAATCAAATGCCGGAAACGACATATGTGCACAGTGGGCAAATATCAGAGAGATATGCACTAGTATGTTTTCCCCATGGGGTAATAAAAGGGATTATTACCCACGTGGTGAAGATACAGGTAGTAAGATATCAAATCAGTACGCCACACGTGTGTCGTAAAGGTTGACCTCGTTTTATTCGTTTCGATTAGATAATCGTGACCTTTATCATACCGGAACTACGTTTTTTCATCATAAGCAATCACGAGACGTCATTCACTTTTAGAACATTTTACTACTATGTACAGAACTGAAGGAATCGCATGAAAATGAGAGACATCTACAAACACTCGATTAAACCAAACGAGCTTGTCCATACTCGAATCTAATTAAGCTATCCGAGCTATTATATGCATTTCATGTTATATATGGGTACAATGTGTGAAGCCCCTTTCTGGTGTCCCCAGCCGTGATATTGCTGGAATATTGCTAAGAGCGGCGTAAAACCATACTCACTCACTCATGTTGTATACGCGAGCTGTATCCATTTGTCATGTACGATTACAGATAGGACCTAGATCGTGATCCTTATGAGCGTGATGCCCCCGACCACAATCGCGACTTTCAGTTTGATTTAATGTAAAATGTTAAGCGTATGGAGATGAAGTCAATTTAAACTACGTCGACCGATATCTAGACTTACGTTGGATGATCAGTGTACACTTCGAAGCGTTTTCCGCAGCACTGTTCCCGTAGGTGTGTATGAATGAACTACACGACTACACGATCAGATCACTCAAAGTTTTAATTCCCGATAGAAATCATTCGAAAACTCCATGGAGGTGTGCCTGTCTTATGATATTGTGGTCTAAAACAATACCAAAACAATATATGTGAACAATAACCTTCCCTATTGATCTCTAGCGTAAAACGCTGTGTGGAGTTATCTTTTCTCATTCTGATGGTGACCTTTCCCTTCGTTTGAAGCTGTCACTCACACAATATGCAAGCAGAATCGAGTTTGATGATTTTCATTTCTTTTTGTAAGGTCGTAAGTTAACGTGAACGTCTTTGGCTAGCACCCTTTTCCAAAATGGTAGATCAAGGAACCCGATCCAATTTGATTGCACAGCAAAAATATACCGGCGATGCAAGTGACCGACTGTGACCGTTTCGAGCGGCTCTGTTTAAGTTTTCTAACAGTGGTGCTGCCTACCAACAACAACGCTACTAGATTAACATTAATTGAAGAAATAAAAGCATTGAACGTTGCTGCTGGCAACACATGTTTGCATATGCATAGAAATGTCAACAATGCCCATGTTGGGGCATATATCAGTATCTATGCGCAACCAGATTTGCAACAGGTTTCAATTTGGTCTCGTTAGAAAATGGGTTCACGAAACTGGTGAATTTTTTATGGTATCTAACGAGAATGAGCACAGTAGTATCTGTATATCCTTAATAATGTTTCACCAACATGATAGTTCCGGAGGAATGACCTGTTCGACGTTAATTGAAAGTAGACTGCGCTTCCCATCGTCAACTAGTGTGCAATGTCCGGTGCAATGTGACAATGCTTAGGACACCGGCAGCGACGACAACGGCACCACCTTCGATGGATAGTTATTAGTTCAACACATCGCGTAAGGTTATTCAGACGCAATGATTTATGCTTCTGAAGCATTCTTTTAATGGTGCCACTTCACTTGTCTGTAAGACTTGGGTTGGTATTGTGAAGCGATAATTTGATCAGTGCCGATGGTCTTCAATTTACCACCGACAATGTTGAAAAATATGTATTGAGCTTACAATGACATTCCATTAGCAGGAGACTTCTGTCCATAAGCAGGAACATCGTTTCAGTTCAAGATTATCTGCCAACATGATGTCCACTGGGCTCACTGTTCCCGACTCAGTGTGCGCTGCATCAAGTTGCGACATGGAGAGACAGAGCAAGGTTATAACGATTCCTTGTTGCACTTTCATTCAAAACTGTTGTTTCCTACTGAATATTCAAAACTAGCACATGTATGGTAATGATTGGTAGTTCATAATAGCAACATTTGTTCAGTCATGCGACAAAAACACGAATTGACATGAAGGAATGTAAATGGTAACATGCTATCAAAAACTGTGTGACGTCTCGGACAATACAAGAAGGGTCAAGGCATTCTGTCAGTCTGGGGTGCCATCGAATCAATGAAGTAATGCTGACTCACTAATTTATCAGCCTTTGTGTCATTTCCCCCAACCCCTTAACTACTGCAGCATTCAATTCTAACAAGTAGTTTTCATACTACCATGGACCCTGTGCAATGGGATAAAGTCGGAGACACGTCCGATGCACAGGGACATCCTTTGGCAGACCTTACCACGGATCACTAGTTATTACACATACATGTCTTTGCTTATAGCAGCAGAAGGAATGATGTACAGAATGAACGAACCGAGTTTAAGTGTTCCTTACGCATCACAATTTCCTCTTACATCTGATTTCATACTTATTTCAGTTCTGACATTAATTAGAAATATGTCAAATGCAACCATCTATCAGCCAGTCCGTTACTCAGTTTACATACATGTTATAGTTTGAAATAAAAGATCTATTCAAAATATTCTGTCTATAATAAAACGTGTCATCTGGTGCTATGTGTCATCACAGGTGTCAATTAATTGTATTTTCCAACGTTTCTTCTACAGTGGTAGTAGAAGTAGTAGTAGTAGTAGTAGTAGTAGTAGTAGTAGTAGTAGTAGTAGTAGTAGTAGTAGTACATAACAGGAATCGGTCCCAACATAAGATGTGTATCATAAATAAATAGATATGTACGATATTTATAGCTCCTTGTTTGGGAACATATGTTGACTAGTTTTGTGTGTTTGTTTGTTGTTTTTCACTCAGCAATATTCCTGCCACGACGGCGTTCTTTGTCTATCATGTTGTGACAATATTATCCTTGTCATTACTTACTTGTGTTATCCCACTCTTGTATGCAATTGTTGTTACCGTTAATCCTCTACTGTTAATCCTCCACCTACTATATATATTATGTACAATGTCCCTGATTCAGTCTTGCTTCACAATGGTATAAGGATCTATACCGAAACGTCGCTTTTTACAGTATTAAAGAAGTTGGTATCCATAAATCGTGTCTACTTTATTAATATCATTGTTAGAACATACATACATAGCTGGCATACTAATACAGAAAATACGAATGTTAGTGTCTTTAAATATTAAGTAATCAAAGATCCTTATCAGAAACTGTTATTTCTTTACTCGAATTATGATACAGATAAAGTTACGAGATTATACAGATCTATCCTAGCATATCCCACTTTCGAACACTTACTTATTCCGCCGCAACTATTTAAACATGTGTGTATTATTGGATAATGAGCATTGACAGCTGAAATTACATTATGATTAATATTAATGTTTTTTCTATTCATTGTCCACTTTTTGAGGAATCATAAAATACTAATTCCTTTCATATTTATTGTATTTCTATTCATTGTCGACTTTGGGGGGAATTATTCGCGAGTACAATTATATAATGTTTAGCAGACGTCTTTACCAAGATCAGCTGTTTATTTCGTTGGCATGCGGGAGACAACAATCTATCATATTTTCAGGTTCCAGACTACGTGTGTTTAGATCGCGATTGGATATATTCAAAGTGATCAGTCATGAAATAGCGAGTGTTGTAAAAGGTGTAACAGTTTGCTGATGTTTTATGAAAAACGGTGCTTTCGTCAATTTCGCTGTCCTTTCCCTCAGTTGTGTGTACCGTAGTTATATATGTTTGAACTTTTAATTAATAAGTAGTGACACTTCACCATATGCTTACTATACAAGGAATATTATTACAGACTCAGTCTTTTGTCAATTCAGCAACAATTAAGTCATGTATATTCCCGCAGAAGGTGGCGTGTTTTATCATGTGCAGCAGCAACAGGAAGTAGAAACGACTGCTGACATTCACGATGCTTATTAGGTACATTTGAGTCATTGTCACATTGAAGGTGAAGGTCAGATGTAGTGAAGACACGACATTTTGCTCTCTCGTGAAAATTGAAGATTTATATTAGGTCTCTCACAGTATAAACATTTTTTTGTGCGTTGAAAGTGCAAAACCACACTTTTACAACTCTGTGCTTCTGAGAAAATCAGCTTGACGACCCTTTTAGCGTCAGATCAAGGCACACTCATGGATAAAAGTGCGTCACAGGAAAATACTGGAACTAATGTCAAAAAGCAAAGAGGTGAGATTGATGAACACACGTCTAATAACAGCAAAGAGGTGAGATTTATGAACACACGTCTAATAACAAGAGAATTATTTTAGAATAT